AAACAATTATTTTAAGGCAAAAGGCATTTGATATCTTTCATATATTTTAAATTTAAAAATATCGTAAGACTCAAATAACCATGAATATTTATAAATAACCCTTTAAGCGTCTTCCCCCCCCCCAAACTATTCATGTACGGTCTTCATAATCCAAACTAGTCTGGTTCCCTGTTTATAATGTAGTATAAGGGGAAGGAACTCCGGACTTAATCCAAAATTGATTCTCCAAACAATCAATTGTGGCATTTGCTATTCCTACAACACTACGGGTGTACGGTTTAAAACAGGGGACGGGAACTTGTCATTGCTTAAATCCTTTACTTTCTTAAATATCGGGTATTGTTACGTAGTCAATCATTGCTCGTTTCAGATTCAGTCTTAGAAGTGAAAGTATCACCATTATCTTTTTCTTTAAGTAGAAATTGACTCGAGAAGTTCAGAAAAAAAGACATGTCATTAGTTTAATTTTCTTTACTTTTTCAAAATATACATTGATTTTCATTTTCTGTTTTTTTTTTTTTTTTTTTTTTTTTGCAATATATTTTTAGTACTGCTTTTAAGGCCAAACATTTTTTTTCATAATCATATCTACACACGCCCGGCAAACTGTCGCTCCACTTCAAAATTGTAGTGTACGGTAAAACGAGCGAACGGCATTTCCGAGATAGTGCGGAAGGCCGATTTAAACGCCTAATTGTAAGTATTGTTTATGTTTTTGTCTTGTTATTCATTTAAGTTGTATTTTTTCGAAAAACGGGAAATGTAGTTCCGTGTAGGATTGATTTAGACTTCCAATGATCTAAGCTGTTACAAAAAGAAAATTATATTAAGCCCGGGAGAACTTTTCTCCCTGACGAAGCGAACGATGATTTGTAGAATATTGAACTTCCCAACCATAGAAATGCCATACCCTTCAGATTTCTTGAAAAAGTGTATTAGTAAATTATCAACCCGTAATGAAAACTTGTCCTTCGTGCAAAATAAATTACTCCTGAAGGATTTCTTAAATTTGTAAATCGATATTTTTCGAAAGTAGTGGAGCGAAAGGGCAAGAGATGGAGCAAAAGGTTCGATGTTGAGCGCAAGGCGATATTAATTTGACGTATTAGGAGGAGCGTTGTCTATGATTTTTTACATATAAAAGCTATAGAAGTTAAAATAGATATGATCAAGTGTAAAGACCGAGATATATATACCTTTTAAAGACAACTAATAAAGTGTGATATCATTTCAACGACTATAGCGTAATAAATGTAATCGCGAAGGTGTCACCTATGGCTGCCGTGTAGATTCCATTTTTTATGTTCGAAATTTGTATGAGCCCCGACCATTGAATCATACACATGTATGCATGGCATAATACAGGATGCCACTTATTCGAGGTCACGGTTATATGTACATTTTAAAACGTGTGTCCGTGCAAATTGGACAAAAATCGAATATTTTCAGTTCTACCGCGAACAAATGTTTCCGAGCAGGTACGTGTAACGCGATTGTTCACGCCAAAATGTTATGTTTTTCGAAAAGTTAGAAATTTCTATTTACACTTTGAGAGGAAAATAAAAAAACTCAACAACAATGCAAAATAAGGGAGGAAGTATTTTGAAACATAACTGAAACACGTGTTATATCCTTATAACGACTGACACCTTGTCAACCATTTTCATAGCGATTCCTCACCTTACAAATTCATGAAAACGTGGCTTATTTGTGTTTGCTCTGAACATGTACGTTAGAGCTATTAATTACAGAAAGTCATTGTGAACTGAACTCGGTAGAAGTGATCCATTTCATTTAATGTGTTCCATGCATTGCAAAATTTTGTTTATGTTCTGCACCTTGAATATCTAATTTTTCGAAAATCATAACATTTTGGCGTGAACAATCGCGTTACACGTACCTGCTCGGAAACATTTGTTCGCAGTAGAACTAAAAATATTCGGTTTTGTCGAATTTGCACAGACACACGTTTTTAAATGTATATAACCGTGTGAAATATCATGATTGACCTCGAATAAGTGGCATCCTGTATGATGCCATGCATACATGTGTATGATTCAATGGTCGGGCCTCATCCAAATTTCGAACATAAATAATGGAATCTACACGGCAGCCACAGGTGACACCTTCGCGATTACATTTATTACGCTATAGTCGTTGAAATGATATCACACTTTATAAGTTGTCTTTAAAAGGTACATATATCTCGGTCTTTACACTTGATCATATCTTATTTAACTTCTATAGCTTTTATATGTAAAAAATCATAGACTACGCTCCTCCTAATACGTCAAATTAATATCGTCTTGCGCTCAACATCAAACCTTTTGCTCCATCTCTTGCCCTTTCGCTCCACTACTTTCGAAAAATATCGATTTACAAATTTAAGAAATCCTTCAGGAGTAATTTATTTTGCACGAAGGACAAGTTCTTATTACGGGTTGATAATTTACTAATACACTTTTTCAAGAAATCTGAAGGGTATGGCATTTCTATGGTTGGGAAGTTCAATATTCTACAAATCATCGTTCGCTTCGTCAGGGAGAAAAGTTCTCCCGGGCTTAATATAATTTTCTTTTTGTAACAGCTTAGATCATTGGAAGCCTAAATCAATCCTACACGGAACTACATTTTCCGTTTTTCGAAAAAATACAACTTAAATGAATAACAAGACAAAAACATAAACAATACTTACAATTAGGCGTTTAAATCGGCCTTCCGCTCTATCTCGGAAATGCCGTTCGCTCGTTTTACCGTACACCACAATTTTGAAGTGGAGCGACAGTTTGCCGGGCGTGATCTAGCATGCCATACTTTTTTCCGTAGCTATATTACGTGCTTGATTGTATATCAAATGTACAAGATTTTTTATACTTTCTAAATTGCTTCCCTTATACTTCTTCAATTGTTATTTTTCTTTTTTAATAGTTTTTTTCAATACCGGAATTTAACCATGGAGTTTAAATTGCTGTTTGCTGAAGGTCAAACAAGAGAAAAGGTATACAATAAACAGAAAATTCATTTTCCCCCTTTCAATACGATGCTATTTTCATCACATGTTATAAAATGATCGTATTACAGTCTTGGTTACCGTCATTCGTGAAAATATTTTTCATACCACTCGATGAATTTGGAGAGACAAACTTGATATCCTCTATGAATTACTAGGTTAATGCATTGTTTTCTAAGTTATAAGGAAATTGAGAGTAGCAATTTCTTTTACTTCCTGGATCAGTGACTAGCAAAAATGAAATTTATGTTCTATTTAATTCTTTTCCATTTATCTTCATACAATTTCACCTTCACAATAGAACATGTTGCAAAATCGATGATTATCATGACTCATATATTTTTAATTAAATATAACTGATAATGCACTTTCAGCGCCACATGATTTCTCTTGATAAAAGTTTTGAACGCTGTGACGGCCATTGATAAAGTTACATTAGGCATAAAGAAAAGTTCTTGGGATCGATAACGGTAATGGCAATATGATGACTTTCATGCAATATTCATGCGTATATTTTTTTCCCTACATTGTCATTAATCTTCGAAATGTATCCAGGAAATTTCGTTTTATATTTTAGATGAGAACTTTTTACGCGACAATCAAATATCGTGTATTATATGTACTTAGATTGGTTGTGAGCAATTCGAACAATAACCTTCCCATTAGCTCGTTGTATTGGTAGGTTACAGTGTAAGTGGGAATCAATGTTTACCGTAAATTATTATATTAGCACCATGTGTTCTCTATTGCTCAAATATTGAATGGCCTAGAGTTATATGCTTTGCAAAATAAAGTCTTCAGCCGATGTATGATTATACTATAAACAAGCATCACTCTCACTTTTTAGTTAAGGTACTGGTAAGCATTTACAATATTAAATTGGTCAAGAACGGCGCAGTGTTTGAAATAATTTTTATAAAACTGTTGATTTACTAGACTAAATAAAAGTAGTGGATTAACCAAAGTAAATGTATTATATGATTCATTTGAAATACTGCAATTTTATTGGACAAAAATGATTTGAAATGGTAATAATGTATATGGCTACAAAATTAACTAGGCTCTCTCCCGGTGGTAATGATTTTAGTAAGGTAAAGTCTCGCTCCTGTCGATATAAGATTTTTATAATAAACAAATCTCACTTCCGGTTATTTTATATGATCTATACACACGGCTGCTGTCAATTTATGGAGTAATTTTCGTTTTCCTCAAATAAAGTTATTCTGTTATATTATAAATTCGTTATAAACATGTCTTAAATCTTATATGGACGTATATAAACGGTTGTTCGTAATATAACTCTCTCCTAGCGACTTGGGTTATATGAGCTTACAATGGTAAGCCATATAACCTGCCAGATAACCAGTCTCACTTTCGTCGGTAAATGGTTAACATATTGTACTTTTGTCATAAATCGCGATCATGTAGAATATAGAACATCTTTGCTTTTGCTAAAAGTAATAACATGCATCACATTTTGACACAGTTTTCGCTTGCCTAGAAATATCGTCGAAAGATACCTTATATAAGCATTAGTCAACTTCGTCAATTTTAATTTCTTCATGTCTCCATGACTTTAAATGACTGTGTAAAAACTGTGTTTTTGTTTTGTATAAAATATGTTTAACTGCAAAACGATAATATTGCATTGTACCCAAAAGTATAGTTCGAAATCAACAGATTTGTTGTATATCCGAAATAATTGTCTAACAATTAATTGTATTTTCTTGTTGCCTAATAAATGACACTTGCTAAAGATTAATCTCTAAATGATCAAATTTCCAACTTTTCAAATAAATGGTGAAAATAACAAAAAAATGACTGCACAAAGTAGATCAAAACAATGCGGGGTTGTCATAAAACATATATACCTGTCAGGAGAACGACACTGTTATAAAAGCGTTTTATAAAATAAAAAAGAATTAAAATAAAATGAATTGACGCTACCATAATGCATTAAACATGATGTTATTGTATTATTTTTACTAACCTATAGCTTTCATGTATTCTTCAAAGTTTTCGCACGTGTCAAGTTTCCATTTTCCTACAACACTTGCCATGTTCAGCCTTTTAAATAATAAATCCTTTCAACAAATAACTCAAAAACAACACAACAAGAGTCTTTTCTTACGATTGAGCAACTACTTTTTTCCAATGATTTTTTTCTCGAATTCAGTACGTCTGTTGCATATGTTTGTTTATGAAGCGTTCTTTCTATTGTACTGCAGACGATAGAGAACTATTTGGCGTATTTATACAACGTTTGTTGGACGAGATCAGTATGATCTGGAAGGCAAAGAACGCTAGATGCAGTTACGGCATTGCTTTGGCACGATATTTGTAATAGTTTTACACGTCGCTGTCTTCTATACAAACATCACGAGACAATCCTTTCATTCTTGGTTACAGATATTATGAATACTTCCTAGACAAAATAATATCTCCATAGCATACAGTCATGTTTCACTAATTGATATGCACTCATACTGCACTGCAATCATAACATTCTGACAGTGATGATAGTTCCTATTTTAGTTAGTTAGTTAGTTAGTTAGTAAGTCAACAGAAAGAGCTAGAAGCTATCCATCAGTATTGCCTGTGAAATCATAATTTGTTTACGCTATGACATAGTTTTTGTTTTACAAATTACTAGTAGCTGGTCATTACATGATGTATCTTTAAGTTGAAACAAACCCTCAATGTTTTTTATTGCCAACATCAATGAATAAGAGAAAAACGTAATAAAGACGTATATATCGTTCAATTCGGAATCTATTTAAGCAATACTGCTATTAATCAATACGCTGAAATCATTAAAATACGTTGACTATATACAATTATATAAACAACAAAATACAAGAATGAAATGTTAAAAGATCTAAAATAGCTCATTCTGTGATTACAATAGGCCATACAATGTTATACGTATCATAATTTACATTGAAGCGGCAAACATGTTTTATAATGTTTTAATACTGGATTATGAACTTGTATTATGCTTATCACCTTAAGAAAGAAGCACTGAATGCGCAGTTATTTCTCATAGAGGTAGCCAAATGCAAATAAAGTTGTTTTTTGATTTCAGTTTTTATACAGTTCAGTTTTTTATCAGATAGTTTTGTAATATTTCATAGGAAGTGTTTTCATAGGAAATTGATTTGTCATTGCTTTGGTATTGTAAAACGTTACAGTATATTATATATAAATTCTTCAATAATTTTCTTATAATACAGCGAGTACCGGTATCATAAAATAACAGGAACATTCTTAAAATATTAAAATGTGAAAATGTCGAAGATGGTCAACTGTGAAAAAAAAACGGAGATTTTCTGCGTCACATTCGAAAATGTTAGAAGTCTTGCAAGCTATCTTATCTACGTTATCTACATTCTTACGCTGTCTGTTTTTAACATATAAATCAAAGTGATTTCTCTTAACAAAATTATATATCCATTAGTAAGGTTGGTCAATTTTCATTTCTTGTGACTCCATGTTTTTAAATGACAGAATAATATCTGCGTTTTTGTTAGATATATTAATTATGTTTATGATATTCAAATATACCCGAATGTATAGTTCAATATCAACAGATTTGTTGTACATCCGAAATTATGGTCTAGCAATTGTTTTTTTTTTAATCATTTTTGGTGTCTGGCAAATGACACTTGCTAAAGATCAAACTCTAAATGATCAAATTGCCAACTTTTCAAATAAATTGTGAAAATAACGTCGAAAGGTAGAACAAAATAAAGAACAACATAGAACAAGTTATAGCGAGATAGTCTTTAAACATATATACCGGACAGGAGAATGACACTATTATATAAGCTTTTCATAGAATTAAAACAATATATTGAAATACATTTACACGGTACTCTTATGTCTTTAACAAAATGTTATTTGATCATTTATACTAACCTATAGCTTTCATGTATTCTTCAAAGTTTTCGCACGTGTCAAGTTTCCATTTTCCTACAACACTTGCCATGTTCAGCCTTTTAAATAATAAATCCTTTTAACAAATAACTAAAAAGGCACAACAAGAGTCTCTTCTTACGATTGAGCAACTATTTTAATATTTTTTTCCAATGATTTTTTTTCTCGAATTCAGTACGTCTGCAGGATATATTTGTTTATTACGCGTTCTTTCTATTGTACTGCAGACGATAGAGAATTATTTGGCGTATTTATACAACGTTTGTTGGACGAGATCAGTATGACCTGGAAGGCAAAGAACGCACGATGCAGTTACGGCATTGCTTTGGCACGATATTTGTAATAGTTTTACATGTCGCTGTCTTCTATACAAACATCATGAGACAATCCTATCATTCCTGGTTACAGATATTATGAATACTTCCTAGAAAAAATAATATCTCCATTGCATACAGTCATGTTTCACTAATTGATATGCACTAATACTGCACTGCAATCATGACGTTCCAACTTAAGGTGGATTATAATTGAGATGATGTCACAATACTATGTAGCCAAGAATTTTCCAGAAAACAGGAACTTGAAAAATGAAATGAAAATAAGAGATGATAGTTCCTAAGTTAGTTAGTTAATTAGTTAGTTAAAAGCTATCAACCACTGTTGCCCTGTGAAAACATGGTTTATATACGCTATTGCCTTGTTATTAGTAGCTGGTCATTATATGGTTTATTTTGAAGTTGAAACAAACCCTGAATGTCTTTTATTATTGCCAACATCAATGAATAAGAGAAAAACAATTAACGACGTTTATAATACTGCACGTTTGAAACGTCGCTACAGCTGCTGTCTACGAAGAAATCTCGCTTTTTTTCCTCTGAAAAAGAAAGTTTGCTGTAAGGTTATATGGCCATGTTTAAACGGTTGCTTTCAATATAACCCTCGACTAGCGACTCGAGTTATATATTACCAAACACCCGTTCATATAGGGTGATATAACTTGTCAACAATCTTTATAACTAATAAAATTACGTTATATTGGGGATCCATCTAAACAATACTGTTATCAATTTCATGTTGGTAAAATCATTACTTTGAAAATATTGAAAATCTTAAACTATAAAACTTATAATAAAGTATTAGAAATATAAAAGATCTAAAATCGCTCATACTAAAATCACAATGGGTAAAAATATGTTATAGGCATATTTTAAGCGTCAGAAACGAATACATTTTACTTCTTTAGACAGCGCAAACATGTGTTTTATAATGCTTTAATAATGGATTATGAACTTGTTATATGCTTATCACCATAAGAAAGAAGCACTGAATGCGCAGTTATTTCTCATAGAGGTAATCAAATGTAAACAAAGTTGTATTTAGATTTCCATACAAAATATTAAATCACTATGACTGTACAAATTGACATAGGATAAAAGAAGCAAAAGTTCATCTAATTGGCGATTAAGTATAGTTTTGAGACTTCAATTTAAACAAATTACAAGTGTGTGAGCAACAATTAAAGGTATAGTATTTTAGGGCTTAATGGGCCTTCAACGTTTTCATTTTCTTTTGCCTACACGATTTTGGCAAATCATTTTGTGTGTTTATGTATTTTCTATAAATATGTTTGATTATTTGAACACTCCATGAGTTCAATTAATTTTATCAATGTTTGGCAAAGAAAATGGAATATTTTACTCTCTAGTGTAATATGCAAGTACAATGCTTTATCTATGAGAAGAAATAGAATCAGTGCATTCCACACTCGTTTACTAGGTTAGTTCTTTACCTTGACACCTTTTAAGCTTTTGATTATCTGGACAAGATAGTGTATGTTAATTCACGCAGGATTTTTTTTATTTGACCTAGCCATATTTGTCGTCAATAGTTGTCAACGGACATCAGGGGAAACTAGAAAAAAGCAAAGTAATGGTTGAAATAAGCATTGTTAACTTTGATAACGTTTAACGATTTTGCTATGCCTTAAAATGTTTATTATATGACTTCAAATCAATATATCAAGTAAATCTTTAGGGACAGAGCAATATTCCAATATGATGTGCGTATCTAAGGATGTCTGTGGAAAGTAGAAAAGTTTTATTACAGTTTTCTTTATCAAACAGTTTTGTAAAATTTCATCGGAACTGTTATAAATCGATTTGCAAGTGCTTTGGTATTATTATACGGTACAGTACTTCAATCTTCAAAGAGTTTCTTATAGTATATTAGAAATATATATTTCTTATAGAAATAATAAAATATAGAATATATTGATCTATATTCTTATAGAATATCATAAAATAAAACGAAAAATCTTAAAAATATTAACATGTGAAAAAAGTGAAGATGGTCAACTGTGAACAAGACCATCTGCGTCACATTTGAAATGAAAGAAGTCTTACTTGTAAGCATTAATAATTACTCTATCTTTATGTACGTTTATTTGATTATAATACTGTAAGATTTTTGTTTTTGATTTGTTTTGTTTCAAATTGGAATTAGTATACACACATGTATATTATCTAATAACTTATCGGTATCTTATTATCCTCTTTGTAAACAAATGTATTTTCTCTTACCTTATTAACTATCATATTGTCTTTTTATATATAATCATGACTTATTGTTTTGTTATTTTGCATGCCTATGTATTTTATGTACTATTCTTAAATAAAATATCTATTCTGTTCTGATCTGATCTGTCCATCAAATGTTACGAATTTAGGAATCATTCACAATTTATAAAATCAATTCATTGGTTATATTCAATTTGGCACACTTTGATGAACCGCAGTGTATTAATTTAATAATTATTCAAATTTAAATAACAGTGTTATAAAAATGTGTTTATACCAACTTTATATTTTTGCTACACGACCTCAATGTCTGTGTGAAACATTCTTTACGTTTCGTAAGAGCAGATACTAATAATTTTTATTGAATTTTTCCTGGCTAAACAATTAATTACTTGTAAAACAGAGATGAATAAAATAATTCATTTTGAAATATTCAACGAAAGAAACAGAAACTGTTTTAAGCTCATAGACATGAATACATGTACACATCAACGTTAGTCTGATGGGATTTAAAATCTAGTTCTAGTGCCATGAAGGATACTTTTCAAACGTGTATAAACCATTTGTATTTTCTTTCATTGAGTGATATCTTTTACTACAATTTTCCCTTAACAAAAGAAGTATGCGTTGATGGATTCAACACATGCATTGACCTACTTTGAACGTTTTTTTTTCAAGTGCTTTTAAATTAATTCTCAAGATTAAGTAAGCATGAGAAAAAAACAACAAGATTTATTTTCTTTAGTATTCAGACGCAATGTTACATTATGAAATGT